TTGAAAATATCATAAAAATTGCATTAATATTCATAATTGTATAAATAGTTTTGATTTTTAGATTTTTAGTCTAATTCTGAACAATTTGACTTAAAATGACTTAATCCTTGTGCAGAAACTTGAGCTGAGAATTTGAGTTGAAAATTGAAGTGAAGAAAGTAGAGGAATTGAGTTTAAAAGATGAAGAATCAAGTATTATGTGTAGGGCGTAATCACTCTGAGTACATAGAGTGAACACTTTGAAGAAGAAAATTTATGAAGATCAAGAGCTTAGTCACTTCAAGTGTTCAAAGTAGCTATGTAATGCCCCGAATTTTGTAAATATTGATTATTGTTATTTATATATAAATCTAAATATGTATACCTATATACGTGTGTTGATTTACTTGGTAATGATGTCTATGTGTATTAAGTGTATAGATGTGTGTATTGTGTGTATGCATGACTAGATAGGGCTGAATGGGCTAAGTGCCTAAGTGTAGGACATGGTACTGGGTTGTTCTCACTGCAGCGAGGGGATTCTCGTTGTAGCGAGAGGACCCTAGGAGGAAAAGGGTAAATTGTCGCCTTCTTGCTGTAGCGAGAGACGTCTCGCTGTGGCGACAGAGCGGCAGTTTGGGGCGCATTTCTGGGTGCAGTTTTGCTGTAGCGAGAGGGTTTCGTTGTAGCAAGATTCTGCAGAAACCAGAGTGCAGTTTTCTCTGGTTTTTTGTTGTAGCGAGAGGGCGTGTCGTTGCAGCGAGGCGACCTCGCTGCTGCAAGAATATCTCGCTGTAGCGAGAGTGTCGCAACCAAAAAAGGATTTAAAGGGGGTTAGGGTTCAGAGCGGGTTATTTCTCCCTCTCCTTTTGAAATCCATTCGATTCTCTCACTTCCAAACCCTATTCCACAGATTAAATTGCCTCCAAAGCCGTTCGGGAGCTTGATTGAAGGTTGAATCCATGTGGGAAACGCTTGGAGGTGAGTTTTAATGCTTAGGGTTCTGTTTCTCATTCCCTTTTCTCTGTTTTTGGGTTTCCTTGGGTTCTCATGGAATTCTTTCATGTGTTTTAGGCCAAAATCTGTGTAAGGAGCACGTCCGTGGTCGAATCCGAGTGTGGGTCTTTAATCCAAGGTAAGGGGGGGACTCTACCCTACTCTTTTATGTGTGATTTGCTGTATTTTGTGGAATATTGTGATATGGCCTAATAGAGGGTAGGAAATTGCTGTGAATTACGATGTGAGCTATGTGCCGTGATAGGTGATTTATTTACTAGATGTTGTATGATAGGATGAGGGCCTGTATGCTGAGCATTGTGAATGAATATTGTGAAATGTGGGCCCAAGGGCCGTGTAATATGATTGAGTATAGGCTATGTGCCGTGTGTTATGAAAATGAAATATAGGCCTTGTGCCGTACAACTATGAAATGCGGGCTATGTGCTATTAATTGTGGGCTATGTGCCGTGTACTGAATGTGTGTGACTGGGGCGTATTAGCGCCGTTGTAATGTGCTATGAATGGTTCAGCAATATACTAAGGGTGTGAAAGATTGAGGATGGTAGAAATACCTCGGGAAAGAGGCAGTGATGGTGACACCGACTGTGGAACAGGTGCACCACGGGCCACACACTTTCTTCTTGACTAGACCTCTGACCATTACCTTTGCTGAGCGACCCGTAACTGCTCACGTGGTATCTGTGAGGCAGGGGTAACCGGCGACCATTCATGGTGTAAATCTGTGATCATAGTGTTATAGTGAGTGTGGCTGGTGTGCGTATGCGTAGATTTGTATTTTATACTTATGGATGTGAATTGCTGCCTATAACTGTGTTTGTTTAATGTATTGGAAATGCTCTGGAGGTGAGACTTTACGTTGATTGCGTGTTTTTGGGTAGTGTAGAGTACTCATCCTTACATTTATTTTTCAGGTAATCAAGACGATCAGCACCGGACTCAGTGAAGGGATGGATGGAACTGCTATAGGACTTAGGATTTTAATTTGAAACTAATGTATTTGAATGGATCTTGTAGTAGTGACTTGATAAAAATTGTAACCCCTTTCCTTATTTCGAAATATTTGATGAAACCAACGATTGAGAACCTTATTTGAAATGAAATTTATTTTTATTCCGAATTTGTGAAATTATGATTTATCAAAATTAAAATTAAGGTGTTACAAGCTACGCCCAAGGCTAATTCAGAATTACATAGTGCGCGTAGCTACTTCAAGTGTTTAGAGTGGCTATGCAATTGAGCGCGTAGCCACTTCAAGTGCTGAGAGTAGCTACGCATGAGGATCTTCCCATGTAGAACACTTGCGCGTAGACACTTCAACCACTTAAAGTGTCTACGCAAAAGTAATAAAATTTTAAATACCACTTCCAAGTGTCAACTTTAGACGATTTGAGTTCCTAATTCAGTTTTAGAAGCTTCTAGAAGACCTTTGATGCTAGAATTCTCAGAGATTAATGTGTAGAAAGGAAAAAGGCAAGAAAAAAATTATAAATAGAAGTTCGAGGTTCAGAAAATGAGACTTTTGTTCATTTTTGTTATTTTTCACCTTGTAACTATTTTAACTTCCAAGGGAAGTTAGAGAGAGAGATGAGGAGCGACTTTTAAGCTTCATTGCTAGAGGAATCAGTATGAAGATTGGGTCTTGAAAGATGTTCTTCTGCTTCTTGTCTTCTTCTTCTCTTACTTCTTCTTCTTTCATTGTAATGTTGTTTTAAACCTTTTTGGTTAGGGATCTATGGATCCAGATTTGATGTTGTGATGTAATTGTGGATTGGATCTTGAGATTTTAATTGAATTGAGTATATGATTCTGTTCTTAATGCAGTTGTGAATTAATCCTTCATTCAATTGAATTTAGAGGAATTTTCATAAATAGAAATTGAGTTTATTTCTCAGATCTGAATCATATGCCTAGGTTATTGAGATCTTAAGAATAAGTATCATGATCTAGTAATCCTATAATTTCTAGAACTTAATGTAGTATTTCATTAAATTTCACCTAAGAGATTAGGGAGATTTAATTAGGTATTAAGATCAATGAGGAAAAGAATTGTCCTTTGGTTAAAGAAGTGAAATTGATTATCAATCAATTAACATTCTCAAGAGTTCAAAACATGATTACATTGTAATTGAAAATCTGGTAAAGTGATTCCTAACTATTTTTCATATAGCATTCTTAATACAAAATTCGTACTCTGTTTTTACAGCAAGTTTATTACTTTTTATTGTTTTTATTTCTTACTTTTACATGTTACAAACATCTCAAATGAATTGTTTTATTCAACTAATTGTTAAATTGTGAAGTGTTAATTGAAATAAGATCCTTGTGGACGATATTTGGGGCTCATATTGAATTCTAAATTTTATTACTTGCTACAACTACCTAGTACACTTGCTAGTTAGTATCTCTATCAAATTGTAAGTAACAAAATTCAATCCCTAATCAAATCATATTAGTTTAATTCACTTTTATTATATTTTGCTAGTTACTTTTAATGAACTCAACCAACCAAAAAATCAATTCAAACTCAGTTGTAAGTTTGTGAATACTTATAAATTTGTTATTTTAATTAGGATATTAGAGATTGCATAAGTATCTTGCAATCCTTGTAGATATGACAATCCATTACTCACCTTATACATCAAAAACTTGGTGCGCTTGTCAAAGTAAAATAAAAATTCAAACAGTTACGCACTCCACAAACCCAGCGTTTTAAAGGGTACATTCAAGGACTCCCTCTATTAGTTCTTATAGATTTTGGTAGCTCTCATAACATCCTTCAACCAAGGATAACTACATATTTGCAATTGACTACTGCGCCTACTCCTCCATTTTCAATTATAGTGGACAATGAAGATCGTATTTTTTATAAAGGAAAATACGAGGATGTTTCCTTATCTCTACAAAGCCATCAATTTGCTATTCCCTTCTATCTATTACCAATAGTTGGTGTTGATGTGGTTCTAGGCATTGATTGGCTAAGATCCTTGGGTTCCTTTATTGTTGTCGTCTCTAGCATCTCATTTACACATTTTAATCAATTTATTACCCTAACTGGCCTAATCGGTTCCTTTCCCTCTCCAACCTCTTATCATCAATTTTATCAACTCTTCAATACCAACTTTATAGCTCCCTCCATCTCCTCAAATTTGTTGAGTCAAATTTCACCCTAAATTCCAACTTGACCCTAATCCTTTACTTGATGCTTCTTCACTCTTCTCTTGGACATCCAAAATCTTCTCTTATCTTACTTTTCTGCATTTATCCCTCCCGAAGGCCTTTTCCCACTTAGGAATGGATAATAAATTGCTAAATGCTATTGATAAACTAATAAAAAGCATTTTAGAAATTAAGAATAATATCCTTGTTTTGAGTTTAAAATTTAATTCAAATTTAAGAGTTATATATTTTGTCAAGTGTATATTTAAATATAAAAATCTATAGATTATTTAAATAAATAATTAAATATAATTAATTGTTGTTGTAAGTAATTACTTAAAATACATTTTATATTTGAATATATTAGCCAAAAAAATTAAAATAATTTATTTTGTTTAGATTGTCTAACGCAATTATTTTTTAATACTACAATTACAGTAAAAAATTTATTTGTAATAGTTAATTTTATATTTAAATTAATTATTTGTAATAATTATAAATTTTGTTATAATTTTAAATATTATTATTTTTTTAATCCAAATTTAATTTTTTTAAAATTTTACAACACTTAGTATTAATAGAAATGAATTATCTTAATTTACATAATTTGTATCTCAATTTCAAAATTTCATCTGTCTGATTTATTTTTATCTAAAAAATAAAATAAAATGAATATTATTTTTACTTTATAAATATTTTTTTAAATTTAAGAATGTCTATAATGTAAAAAAATATTTCTAATGTATAATGCAATGATCTTCATGAAAAAAACTACGTAAAATAAACTTAAATGAGATAAAAAATTAAGCAAAATATGTTAATAACTAAGCACTGGTCTCATTGTTTTACTACTAAATACAGAGTTATTGACACACTCATTTTGCAAAGACAGAGAGATGGCACTGAGAGCAGCCATACTTCACCATGTTCGTGTGCCAATCCAAGGGGCTCCCAAATTGCAACCATGGTGTAGTTCTCTGACTTTCCTACGCTTCATGTCCTCACACGGTGATGATCATCTCACCAAAGAAGTGGTCATCGAGAGAGTCGTTGCTGTTGTCAAAGATTTTCCCAAGGTCGATCCCTCCAAGGTCTCTCTCTCTCTCCCTCTCTCTTTTTCTGACCCTTCATTCAATTTTTTTTAATGGTTTCTTGTCTTGATTAGTGTAAAAATATAAAATGAGAAATGGGTATTCTGATCATTAATTTACTGATTTGTACCAATGGCTTGCCCTCAAATTTGAAAAATTGCGTCAACAGCCAATTGGATAGCATTGTGAAAAATCAGAAGTGGGTATCCCAAATTGTTTTTCTGTTGATTTGGTCAAAAGGGTTTTCCCAAAGTTTGGAAATTTAGCTCAATAACTAGATGTTTGTAATCTTAATTACTGTGAAAAATGTGAAGTGGATGTTCTGTTGATTTGGACAAAAGGGTCTTCTGTCTGATCTGGGTTGTGTTTATACTTTGTTTTGTTAGTTAATGTGGAAAATGACAAATGCGTATCTCAGCTTGTTATTATGTTGATTTAACCAAATGATTTCCTCAAAGTTTGTGAAAATTTAGCTGAATGATAACTTAGATGTCTGCAGTCTTACCTTGATAAGTGGGGAGGTTGTTCTCTTTGTTGTGTAACACCCCTAATTTTATGAGTTTAAATTTTTTTATGCTCATTTGTAACGAATATTTAAATACTTATTTTGTGGAGAAATTGTTTTTTCCTCTTTTTCTCTTTCTTCTTTCCATTGCCAATTGTGATTGATTTAGTAGACTGTTTTACCTTATTCGCGAATTGGGTGAACCAAGAGTGATACACTAGATTCTTGATGACAAAATTGTTGTACCTTTGATCTGGGAATCTCTTGTCACGCATTTGTAACCACTCAAAGAATTCTTTCACCTCACATGCAAAACCATGCCACTTATCCTATTCATTGGACATTATATTAGAGGTATGGTGACCTTGTAGCCTTTGAACTAAAATTCTGCTACTTACTTTTAATCGAGTTGGAAATCAAGACTGGCATCTATGTTGCATTATAATTTGCTCACTCATTACCCATTTAATTTTCACATATACAAGGCCCAAATTTACGAAGTTTTTGCTGTCCAGCCCACCTATAATTCCCTTTGAATGATCCTTGAATTTTTGCAGCCCATGCCATACAAAGCTAACGCCCAATTTCCCAGCATTTTGTTCCTAATAGACGCCCCATTAAACTTGAATAATACTTGACTTTTGCTGTCCAGCCATACTGAGAATCCTAAGAATTTTGGATCAAATTTTAGGAGCTTTCCATGTGTCTTGTACATAATGTAGCCGACCTGCATATCTTATTTTTCCCAACATACCAATTCAGCCGCACAGCAAATTTTCCAAAGCCTTTGGCCCAAAATTTTGGAAGCTTTCACGTGCAAATACTCTGCCCAGCTGCACCTATTGCCTCGAGTTTAAAATGGCCAATTAGGAAAGTGTCCTAATTGTAAATTTAGGCCGTGCAAGGCCAAAGACTTAGTGACCTTGGAAAGTGTCCAGCCACCAAGTTGTCTCATCACCTCCTTTTTACCCAATAAAACTTCATGCAAATCCTAAGGTCTAATCGTACTTAAACCACCAGAAAGAAACCTGTTCTTGAATTGGGCACCAAAAGGAAGGTTTGCTTTGTTCCTTGATTCACTTGCATGAGAAACCTAAGACAAAACTCCAAAGAGAAACTCCATCTAAATACCATCTTGCAAGCTGCTTTAGAGCAACCGAGAGCTTACACCACCTTTTCATGGCTATGCATGTCACCCTTGAGCTCTAAATCACCACAAGTTGATTGAACACCCAGCTGCACCCTCCCTTAAATTTTCTTCCCATTGACTCATAGCAATCAAGGACTGCACCACTCCTTCCACTATCATGCAGCACTGTTTCTGAAATCTAAGGGCGTCAAATCTCATTCCATTGTTTCGCTGCACATTCTCTTGAATTTTCTTCCACTCTGCTCCTAAGAACCGAGAGGCGAATAGGGAGATCACTACACCACTGAGTAACTGAGAGCACTTTGAGCCTGCAAGAGGAGACTTGGGAGGAAACCGCTGCATCTGTCCATCTCACATTCTCACCTTCTCCTTTTCCTTTCGCATAACACGTAATAAGGTAAGGGGGGACTCCATTGTTTGCTTAGGATATTTTAGAATCTGCTGCATGGTAGTGTGTCGGGATGAAGTCTTATATTGCATGCTAGCCTCGGGTTAACCACTAAGATAAAGTATGTGTGGAGATATTTAACTATGACGTGCTGATTTTGTGATTCTGCATGAAGAGAAACTGCCTTTTTGTCATGTTGTGATGTTAATGGTCTCGGACCAGTCCAAAAATGGTATGTATGTAGGGATATTTTGCTGTACCTTACTGAACATATGTCACTGCATGACAAGAGTTTATTTTCTTCCATTTAATGACCTCAATGCCCTCGGCCTAACTCTGATTTTGAGAAAATATGTGAAGTATGATTGTGTTGGGAAACCTGTATACTAGTAAAAAGGGAATTACTCTCTGTTGCTTCATTGCATGTTTGTTTGGTCTTGGTCCTGTTCTGAATTAGGGAGAAAAATGAGGTATTAGTGTCTTGCTTAAATCTGCACAAAATTGGAAGAAAGGGCTTCTCTGTTTTGCTGATTTTGAATCTGTAGAAGTGTCGGTTCTGTGTTGGATTATGATGCAATGCATGTGATATTTTACTGCATTCTGCTACATACATGTTTCTGCATTATAAGGAATACTTCTTCATTCACTTCTGTGGTGTTTGTGGTCTCGGATCAATCTGAAATTAGTGTAAATGCATGAATATTTTGCTGCATTCCATTGGTTCTGTATTACAACATGAGGATGGTTTATTCTTTTCCATTTTTCTGATCTTGATGCTCTCAGTCTGGCTTTAGTTGTGTGGTATCTGTAATCCATTGTCATTCTGTGTAATCTGCATGTTATCTGAGTTATATGTATGATCTCTATTCACTTCATTTCATGTCTTATCGGTCTCAAATCAGTTCCAACTTAAGTGCATGTGTGATGTACTGATATGTTGACTAAAAACTGCATAATGTTTGGATAAAAAGGCTATGTTACCTTGTGTATGAAAGTGTGAAGTGTTCAGATGGATCCTTGGGTCTAATGTTTTGAGTGTCACATGTTGCATTAAAAGAAAATAAATTTATTCATATGTGGTCCATGGTAGTGTATTTGGATTTATATTACTGTAATTTTTATGTCAAAGTATTGACTTGGAAGGCATTCAGATAATCAGATTCCTCTCATTCAATAAAGCATGATTTCTGACTAATTGAATAAGATATTTTGAATCTCTTCATTCCTGAGCTAAATGTGAAAGGCTTTCATTTTTATGAAGGCATTTTTGTGTTTAATATGCAAAGAAATGAAGGACTTGAAGACAATCCCCCTTGATTGATGCACTTTTCAATTCTTTTATCTTTCATCTTGGCTTGTTTTTATCCTTTCTTTTTTGTTAAGGATTGTTTTTATCCTTGTACTTGGTAACTCTTTCCCTCAAAAGTAAACAAATTAGTTATATTCAGAACAGTAGTTATGGAACTGTAACCTGTTTCCCAGACACATTGGGTTCAAACAATACCATTTTCTTGATTAATCTTTTTCAAAATTGAAGATGATTTCTTTACTGGGTTCAGAATGGCCTTCCATGACCTTGTCCCTCCTTTCCACGTGGGTCTGAACTTCGAACTTCAAGCTCTTTTGTGTTGCAGAGAGAGGAGGCTGATACAGATAAGGTTGTTGATAGCGAGTTTGTTGTTTGAAGTTTTCTCTGTAGTTTCTCCCTTTTTCCTTTTTATTATTTATCTATTTTCGGAAAGGGGGGTGCTCCCCAAAAGTGAAGAAATGCTTGAAATGAGTAGGTGAAGAAATTGGGAGCTAGAATCCTTAAACATTATAACCTTTACTTTTTTGCTATACCCATTACCCCACTAAGAGAAAGCCAACTCCCCAGGGTTGGGGGGGTTATAACTATTGAAATTATAGGATTTTAGGGATGGGGGGAGGAAAAAGTTCTGAGTAAATATTATGGGATTGATATTGACTTGATATGATGTGATGTAGTAAAATAGATAATATGATCTTAAAACCTACTAACCCTTGTTATATTAATCATAATCTTAACTAGATTGGAAACAATTCTTGAGATAAGGAAATACAGTAACCAATCCTAAGAACAAGAAATAATGGGGAAACTAATCCTGAAGCATAATCTAAGATATGACATTTTCATATTCTAACAATAACCTTTTTGTAAAACCCCAATGTTAAATACATCTAACTCCCTAGTCCCTAGTTACGCTTATTACAAGGCCTTACAAATTAGCAGTACTTAATTTTCAATATTAAATGGAGAGTTCAGTGGTTTAGTCTGTAATATGGGTATTATGTCCAAAGTGAACACAAAAAAGTTTTATGAAACAACACTAATACAAATATAATACTTGTTCGTAATAAAAGGTTTCATCATATTTATAATAAGTTAAACCAAAATATATAGAATGTATTCCATTCCCAAACTTGGATATAAAGTTTCCTTCGACAAATTTTTTTTCACAGCTACAAGCTAGACTATTTTCCCCCAAATTCGGAAACTTCAGAGCTAGCTAGATAGATTTCTTTAGCATATATAGAAACTGGAAAAAGTCCCAAGGGATTCATTTATATAAAAATAAACATGACCCAAATTGTGAGTGGGCAACAGCAGTATCATTTGTGCATCTGCCACCATGAATGATTTAAGACCATCATAAAATTTACCAAAAAAGACATGATAACATTCAAGGAAGTGTTATGGTCTTGTGAATAATATCAAGAGAATCTAATTATTTAAACATTGTAGATCTTGGTTAAGGTCTCAGATCTATAATACTATTTTGTTTTAAAGTCTGAAGAACATCTTTTGCTACTGATATTGGATGGATATCAGTGCAGGAAGAAGGTGTAGATACACTCAGCAATGAGAGATAGAGAAACAAAAAGGGTAGAGACACTGCATAAGTTCAAGGGTCTGCATTCTCCCTGCCTATGAAGCAATGACCCTGGATACAGCATGTGCAATGCATATTAAGTTGATCTGAAGGATGTTAGTGTGCCACTAAGGGTAGAATAGAGAGTGCAAACTATCTATGTTTGTTTGTATTCTTCGCCCATAGAAACTAATTTTCATTCAGAAGCTTCCAAAATTGTTTTCAGAATATCTTTTAAATATGCAAATAATCAAAGAGATTATATTTCTTTTGCTTTTGAAAACCTTTTCTATTTTTTCAATCCTTTGTTTAGCTCTTGCACTTTATTTCTTTAATTTGATTGCGATGCTTATTATTCTATTTTGCATATTTGGTGACACTGCTTTCTTGTAAATTGTAAGCATGGCAGATACCGTTTTCTTGTGTTTATTGGTTTCTTCCACTCCTCAGGTGACTCCAGATGTCCATTTCCAGAAGGATTTGGGATTGGATAGCTTGGACAATGTGGAAATTGTAATGGCACTAGAAGAGGAGTTCAAGCTAGAGATCCCAGACAAGGAAGCTGATAAAATTGACTCTTGTCATCTTGCCATTGAATATATTTCTAACCATCCTATGGCTAGTTAAGTAACTAGTAGTCTTTTCCCTATTTGAATCCATGTTGAACTTAAGCATCAAGGCAACCTTGAACCTTCCCCTTACTTTCTCTGGATGTTTCTTTTTCTTTTCTCATTTAAATTGGAGGAAAGGGGCTGGTTGTTTAAAATAATGTGAATTGTTCTGAGAGGAGTTTACCAATGAAGAGCTGGTGGTGCTGGGTTTTTGAAGGACAATAATTTCTACTGAGTTTTGATTTTTTCCATGCTATTTCTGTGATCTGCTCCGGTAAATGGTCTGTGTTATGTCTTTAAGGATATCCATTTACCCCCTAAAGTGAATTGTTTTAGACTTGTTAAGCATACCTTCGCAGGAAACATCATTATTCTCCAATTTTGCTCTTCATAATTGGCCACTTGGGCACCACCGCCAATACGCAAATCGATAGCTTCACATGGATTCATGTTTATTTTAACGTTACTAATTGTAACATTTGTTTTAGATTTACTTCTCATGTATTTTTTAACATGTTTTCTAAGACAAATTCACTGCAAACATGAATGATTTGGAGAATCATGTTAGAACTGCATTTATGTTAAAAGCTTTGTTAATGAATATTCTAAGGGGCCTCAAGAGAGTGTATTTTCCTCTGGTTGGTTATGCAAAACGCACTTTTAACTGACCAACAACGTGTTCACAGGCACATGGCTCATGAAACATATATTAATCACTTGCTTCGAGATTGTCAATTTATTACTAATGTTTGGAGGAAACCAGTTCGGAGGAAATTCACAACTAGTGCATGAATACTTTACTCATTCTTATCCTGGTTTTAAGATAAATACTGAAGGTTCAACAACAAATAATGTAAAAGTTGGGGGGGTGCTTAGGGGTCCATCATGATGGTATAGTTTTGGGTGTTTTCTCTATACTTTCACGCCCAATCAAAAACTCAAATATCATGGCTCGATAACCAATCATTTTTGGAAGATACGAGCCATTAATTATAACTATTAAATGCTTTTTTTAGCTTACTTCGGTAAAGTTATTAATATAGTTTATTAAGATAAATAATTTTCAACTATGGTTAAATTTATACCATAAATTCTTTTATATATATATAAAAGAATTTATGGTATAAATTTAATATATATATATAACACGTATTGAATTAGAGACAATTAATTTAATTTTTATTTATTTATTTTTAAATGAAATAGAGGACAATAATACAAAAACAAAAAAGCGAGATGAATAAAACAAACGTTCTTTAACAACGAAACAAATATAAAACGTGTAGAGAAACAATGTGCAAAACAATGTGCAAAGTAAAGATGAAACAAAGATAAATAGAGCAAATAAACGTGCAAAACAAAGATGAACAGAGCAAACGTTCAACAGAGTGAAACAAATGAAATGTACATGTAGAGACGGAATAGAAACAAAAATAAGAGCAAATGTTCAACAAACTTCGAAATAAATGAAACGTACATGTGTAGAGATGAAACAAAAATAAAAATAGAAACTGGAACAGAAAGAGAAAAAGAAAAAGAAAACAGAAAATGAAACAAAGATGGATAACATAAGAAAACAGAAAACAAAGATGAGCAGAGCACATAAGCAAACCAGTAAAAATGACAAAGATGAACGTTGCCGGAGAACGACGAGCAGTGACCAAAAAAGGGTGAACAACAAGTAAATGAATGTGTAGAGAAAACTCAACACTGCAAAACACAAACGAAACGTGCGGAGGAAGGAAGAAAGGAGGGAGTTTTCAGGGCAGATGAAAGGTTTTTTAACCTTCTAAGTTATAACTTTTTTTTTTGGTGTTGGAGCTATGTCTCCCATGTCGAGCCGTATTGCAGCCGTGTCGGAGCCGCAAAAACTATTTTAAATTTTTGGACACCTGTGGATGCGTGTCGGAGCCTTGTCACACCAGTGTCAGTGTTAGAGTTGTGTCCGACACCTAGACACTCCAGCGAACAGCAGTGTCAATGCTTCAGAGATCTTGACCATCCACTTACATGTTTCCATTGGTGATATAGTTATTACTTGGAGAAAGGAAACCCTTCATGTAGCTAATAGAAAAACCTGCACCATCTCGGTATCCTCATCCAATTGAGTTAGATCATAACCTTTAATTATTTATGGCATTGAATAGCCTAACTAATGACAATTAACGACTTTGATTTCAAAATTCTGCACTACCTAAAGACTTACACCTAATTAGGAATTTTCATTACTAAATGGTGAGAATTCTGAAACTTCGCTTCCATAATTGCCAAAACTAGCCACACAAGACAGAGGCCCTATTAGCCTTGGAACTCTTGATTATTATTATCCATGGGTGGATATGCAGAGCTTTAAACAAATCCCAGATCATAGCCATTATGCAGAACGACAACCTTTTATTATCAAATTCTACCAAGTAAATAAAATTAATGACTTTGGAACTACAACTTAAAGTGACCTTTGTGTAACATTGAGATAACCTACTTGCATGTACATTCTTCTTGTGTGGATTAGATTCACAAAAGTGCCTTGATTTTTCCTTGTGTATTTCAAATGTTCTTGGTTTTATCTTCAAAAATATTTAGCAAAAGGTTGGCAAGTTTATATGTTTTGGTAATTGTTATCCTTGGAAATGGAGGAGGAACCGAGAAATGGAAAGAAAGTTAAAATGCCAATAATATTAAATCTATTTTCATTGAATGACAAGAGGTAACTGAGAGGGACCTAAAAGGTGTAATTCTAAAGAAATAGAACCTAAATCATTAAATTAGAGAGAAGTGATCAAGAAACACTTAGGATAAGTAATAATAATGAGATTGGAATTTCAATAATTAAAAATGAAAAAGATGATCGAGATAATTTAGAGTATATGATATTAAAATAATTAGTCTTATACCGTCTAAAAAGGTGAGAAAAATCGAAAGAGGAAAATAAGGAAAATAAAAAAAAAATGTGAGATTCTAAACTACGAAAATGTACGGTAATGTAATGAACCTCAGATAAACAATACTAAAAGAGGGACAAATAGTCAATTTTAAAAGAACTTATTGTCAATTTCTTTCAGATATGAATCTACCTGATTCAGAAGGGAAGAACTTGCATCAGTATCTCAATTTCAATTCAAACATGGGTTTGATTTAAATTCTCACTATATTTATTCCTTTTTCTACTTCTTCTTCCAAGTGCAGGATAACTCCAAGGAGTTGCGGGTTTTTTTCTCCCAATTTGGGCCCTCCCTTCACCACTCCCATGGAGATGGTCTACAGGGTTCATAATTACTCCTCTTACTATATGATGCTTACCTAGCCAACATTTAGATCCGGCTCTACCCAAACTTTTCTGGTTTACCCCAACATTCCCCACTTGTCCGACTGTTGCTGAGCAGAGTACCTATTATCCAAAGAGGAATCCTTCCAGTAGTATCGGCCATTTATTCCACTTTTCTCCATATTTGATCAAGTAGTCAATCATGCTAGAGACATAAACAGTCATAGAATCCGTAAATGCTATTCAGCTAAACGATGAATCCACATTTTATTAATATTTTACTTATCTTTTTAATAGAAAAATAAAGTTAAAAAATATAAATAATATAAAAATATCAATTCTGTTATTAATTTTAAGAAAAATAAAGTTAAAAAATATAAATAATATAAAAATGTCAATTCTGTTATTAATTTTAATTTTTTTAATTTAGTTCAATTAACATGAGTTTTATAATTTTTTCTTGCAATTTTGCTAATTAGTAATTATGCAAAAAAATTTGGACAATAATTCATGAGATTTGAGCTTTTAAGAGAAAATTAAGAGGAAGTAATCACTTTCAACACCCAAAGTAACTACTTCAGCAAGCTCCCTCCAAAGGCTAAGTGGAAGTAATCACTCCTAACATTGATAGTGAACACTCCAGAGCCATTTCAGAGAAGCGAGGTTGCACGTAATCACTTTCACCATTCATAGTGATTACGCGCAAGCCTATTTTGCTGATGAAGCTATGCGTGTTTACTCTCAACAGCCAAAGTAATTACGTGCCCTATGCATAATCACTTTCAACACTGAAAGTGATTACTCCAAAGAGAAAGTAGTGCAATGGGAGCTAGGCATAATCACTTCCACTATTCAAAGTGATTACGCTAGGAAAACGTTAACTTTACTATAAATAGCTCCTCAATTAATCGATAGGGACCTTTTTTGCCATTTTGTACTTTTCATTTTTACACTTTCATAGGATTAGGTCAGAGCTCTAGGTGGCTGCCAAGAGCTTATTTTTAAGGTTCTTATTTCTTTCCTCATCTCTTCACTTTGATTTTTTGATTTTACTAAACATTTATTACTTGCAATGTTGAACCCCATCTATATGGAAGGCTAGTTTTTGGATATTAATTCTTAGCCAGTTCATAATGGTTTTTGAAATCTTGATTTAACTGTTAATATGAATTTCCTTCTTACGAATTTCATTTCCCTAATTTCTTGAGAACTAAATTAGGAATTGAACGAGGATTGTTGCTTAATCAATCTAGGTTCTTTTCTTAACAAGGGTTTCGAAGCTCAATTTGCTTAATTCTGGGTTGGATTCTAAGTTTGCTTAATTCTAAAGACCAGAAATTAGAGCTCATGCAAGTTCTATCCTCAAAGGAAGACCTATGGACGTTTGACCCAATCATGCATTAGTGCTTGTTCTGCAGATTAATCCCTTAATGTTGAGCCTTTTTCTGATGAGGAGGCTGAAATAGATCCTGAGGAGGAGTACACCCCTTGGGTAATCTTTTCTAGTTTGGATGTGTTTGTAAGGATTGGGTATAGTAACTGCTTTATGGTTACTAGTGTGTCATTTTGTGTCTTGCTAAACACCATGACATAATTATGTTTATTGTATTTGGAGAGTAACATTATTTTTATCTTACTATAGATGTATTATCTAGTTTCCAGTGTTAGATTTATGATTAAGATAATGTTTTTCTGTAGTTTCATCTGAATTACTTGTAGATGTTAGAAAAATAGGCGACTTCATTGTTTAATGGGATATCAAAGAATATTAAAGTAAATATGTATTACATGTGTCTAAGCAGGGGTGCTAAATTACAATGTGTGTGGAAATATATATATATATATATATATATATATATATATATATATATATGCATGTATATGTACTTCCTTTGGACTCGAATATAAGAAAATTTGAACTCATGTGTGGTGGTCCAAAATATAAGCAAATCTTAATTGATTTCACCTTATTTAATGATTAAAATAC